TTTTTTTGTATCATTGACACTTATAAATTTACAGGTGATCATGTATTGTATTACATTATATTTCTAAAAAATTTAAGGGGTAGTTATATAATAATTTTGGACGATTTCAGACGGTCAGATACTTATGACCGCTACTGTAAGGTGACAAATATTTTTTACTGTGATTGCATGATTACTTCTACTTTAGATTTCTTCTGAATTTAGGTCTAATTGAATAAATAATTTAATATCATTTATTATTTATTAGAAAACAGTTCAGCAAATAAAGATCACAAAACATTTATTCAAAAAAAATTATAAATAAATTATAAAATATGTTTAGCAACCTTTATTTTAAATACTTAGTAATCATCAATATTATTTGTAATATTAACAAAATAATCACAAAAATTCCATTATTGTTGTATATGATTATTCATGATAATCAGTTAAAGTTTATTATTTTTTTTATATATAGAGAGTTTCTAAAAGTTTATGCATAATTCTTTAAAATTAAATTAAAAAATATATATCTTTAGATTTTTATAAATATTAATAAAATATTCATTAAAATATTAAACTGTTAAATTTAAAATTGTTTTTAAAATTAAAAAAAATATAAAAAAAATAAAAATTTATTTATTTAATATCTCAATAAATATCTGATTAATTTTCATAAAATTTATATGTAAATATTTCAGGATAAAATAAATAACTTTACTTAAAGATCAAAATTAGGTTTAAAATGTAAATATTTTTAATTTGATTTAGATAAATGATCAGTAGTTATTTTTTTTAAAAAAATTTTATAATTCAATCTTCATTTTACTTAATATCTTAATGAATACTTATTAAATATTCATAATAAAGTATTTTATAACTAGATAAATAATTTTACTTAAGACAGATTAAATTTTAAAATATGAATTTCTTCAATTTTATTTTAAATAAAGTGTGTTTAAACTTTTAAAGACTCTGTAATTAATATTTTTCAAATTTATTTAATATATTTAAATAAAATGCTTTCTTATTTTCTTTTTTTTAACTAAAACATCTTCTTTAAATGTACTTGATTCTAACATTGCATTATTATTTTAAATATAATAAAAATGAAATACATTTATGTGTAGCTACTATGACTGGTTACATCTTATCAATATAAGGGCTAATCAAAGTCTAAAACTAATAATTTTTTTGAAATAAAGATGATTAAATATTTTGTCTTAAAAAGTAAGAAATAAAAATTTATACTAATTTTAGATCTGTCAATCTTAATCATGTAATATAAATTTAAGAACTATAAATTTACATGCAAGTTTTAATCTATAAAAATGACCTTCTAAAGCTTAGTTATATAGAAATTAAATCATTTTAGTTAAACATATTGTAATAATTCTGTTATTAAAAATAAGTATCATTTATAAATAACTAAATAAATTTTAATGGACGGTTATTAAATACACTAGTTAAATAATAAAGTATCAGTCAGATATAATAAACCTAATATATATATGATATCTCATATATAGTAACCTAATATATCAACGATATGCATTACTGATACCTTAATTAAGAATGCATAATATCAGACACCTTTAGATAAGGTATTAGGTTACAAATATCATATAAAAATTATTGACATATTAGGATTCTAATACCCATATGATATCTCAATGATACTTATATCAATATTGCTATGAACATCATGTTTATATACCCAATATCTCAATGATACTTTTATGATATATATCGATTTTACAGTAGATAAAATATACTGTTTATTATTTTTTTATTATTGAAATATTGAACATATTTATTATTTATAGCTCAATCAATCATTCTAATTGCTATATAAATATAATGTATATTATTATAAAAATGTTCATTATATAATAATTTCTCTATTATATTAAGAAAGATGCTGATTCTATTAAAATAAAGTAAAATTATATAATTGGATGATTAATTGTATGTTCCTTTTCTTTTCGATCAATTTTTTGATTTGTTTATTCAGTTTTTTAGCTTGCTTCATTAGATTTTTTACTCATTCTTCCTTCTTATTTCTTTTTTAACCATTCGTGTTAATTCTTCTTCTACTCTTCTTCTTATTTCTTTTTCTAATCTCTGTTTTATCTCTTCTTCTATCTTCTGTCTTACTTCTTCTTCTACCCTTCATTTTGTTTTTTTTATCATCCTTCTGTTTATTTCTTCAACTTTCCTTCAATTTAACTCTTCAACTTTTACTTCTTTATTTTTTATCTCTTTACGTCTTACTTTTTTATATCTTTCTTTATCTTTTTCTTTACCTCTTTCTTTATCTTTTATTTTGAATACTTCAAATTCTTTATTTGCTTTTTCATATACTTCTTCATTTGTTTCTTCATCTATTTCTTTATTAAACCATTTTCTTCAGTCTCTTATACTTCTTTCTTATTCTTTTCCATTTCCTTCTTAGTTCCTTTCACTTCTTTTTCTTTGGCCTCTTCCACTTCCTCCTTCTTGGTCTCTTTCAAGATATGTAATCAAAATGGCCTAATCTGGTGCATCATTCAGCAGTTTTGAATTGTTATAGTATATAATCCATTTAATCTATTTCTTTCTGAATTTATGTAACTCCTACTGAATTCTGATCAGTTGTTATTTCTACTACTGCTACTAGTAGAGCTGTGACTACGATGTTACGTTGGGTTTCGTAGCTTCAAATAAAATCTCAAAGGGTAAATAAGACTAAGATAATTATTCAAGGAATCACGGGTGAGGATTCACAATAACGTCGAAGAATTATTCTCAATAATAAACACGTGATGATAAACTCAA